CCGCTGGCGGGTCTGAGTCAGGCCCCGCCGAAAATACCCCGCGTCGGTTGTCGGTGGATGAAGGTCCCGGCGTTATTGTGGCCCTGTCGACATCGCTTGTCGTGCTCTCCAAACGTGCAGGGGCGGGTTCGGACACGCCAGCCTCGCCGAGGCTGCGCCGGCGGGGTTTGGTGTCAGCTGGCAAAAGCTGTTTCTGGCCGCACAAGCTGCCTGTGAAGGGAGGACACCCAGCCGTGTCCAGCAGGGTTCCCTGCTGCCCCCTCAGGGACAGTCTGCCTGAGCGGCACAGCTCAGCGGGTTCGGAAGCTCCCGATGCAGCACAGCACATCACAGCTCACCAGCTCGTATGAAATGATGTTGCTGAGACAGTACATCACCCTGTTAGGCTGTACTGTGCAGTGTTGGTGGAGCAGAGGTGTCTGGTTCAACTAGCTGGGCTGTCAGCGAAACAGCCTTTGGCACTAGAATGCCATGGATAGATGGTGTTTTAATTTGGTGTTGCTAGAGCTTCTGTGCTGCTCTGGGTGGGTTTTGCTGATGTCCTTCAGGAGATGTTTCAAGGAATCAAGTGTGTAAGCAGAATGCAGTACCTTTAAAACTATTTTTCAGAAGCTTTCTAGGAGTAGTTTTGTAGTGAGATTCAAGCCAATGTAAGAAATAAAGTCTCCACTTTCATCTCTTGAAGGCTGCAGAAGATGTCAATGTTACTTTTGAAGATCAACAGAAAATTAACAAGTTTGCCAGAAATACCAGCAGGATCACAGAGCTGAAAGAAGAAATAGAAGTGAAAAAGGTATATTTGCCTTAAATATAATTCTTCATTGACAGGAATTAGTTTTCAGCTGTAACATAGAGAATAAGGCTGTGAATGACTGCAAGTAATGCTTTGGTTCCAATAGGGGACTTCTGATACTTTGAAAATAGCCAGAGAATGTTAAAGTGGAAAAACGGGAGTAATGAGAACTAGTGTATTTCTAGTGCCACTAGTATATTTCTGCATGCAGTTCTTGGAACTCTTTAGTTGCCATATATGAAGCATTATCTATGTATAGTGACTGTAATATTCTTAACATTTCTTGCCTGAGATTGTTCATATTTATTTTTCTGGAACCAGTGAGGCAGCTGTTGGTTGTGCTTTTCCTTTGATGTGTTGACAAAGATTGTCATTGGCACTGCAGAGGTTTTATATTGCTAGTCTGACTAGGATATGTAATTTTAATTTTTTTAGTATTAATTCACTCTCTGACTCACTAATCAGGCATAGCATTTGCAAAGAGGTGTTACTGAGGTTTTTTTTTTTAAATGCTAGTGCTGTCACGAAATGTTTCCTATAATTACTTTACCTGATTTGTATGTTGTAAAACAGTTGTCTTTTTTATGTTGATGTTTCATTGATGGCTTAAGGTGATGGGACTCTAAAAATAATCCTACTTTTGCAATAAAGTAATTAATGTTTGCCATCTTATTTGTAATTTTTTTCTGTTTTCCAGCTAAATTAAAAAATTCCTGGGTAACAGCTTATCAGATATTAGCAAAACTCAAATTTGCTGTTATTTCCTTTGTATAGACAGTTAATTATACTATTAATGAGACATAATGAGTATTGACACATCTTCATTAAATTTAATATGCTAAATTACAGCTCTGGGGATATTCTATTAGACATACTGTTTTCTTGCTGCGGGTAGGATTTTTTCCCAATATGTGGACTCAAATCTGAGTTCATTATTCAACTGATAGCATGACTGTACATCAATTGAAATAATTTACCCAGTTAGAAGTGACTATCTTTCTTATATCTTAATAAATAGAAACAACTTCAGAATTTGGAAGATGCTTGTGATGACATAATGATGCTTGATGATGGTGATTCACTTCTGATACCCTACCAAATTGGAGATGTCTTCATTAGTCATTCCCAGGAAGAGACACAAGAGATGCTGGAAGAGGCAAAGGTTTGGGCAAAAGGGAGCTCCTTTACTGTACTGGCTGCTATAGTGTGATGAGCTTCGGAATGGCATGATCTGTTCATCCTTTGAGCCTTTCACTTTCTAAAGTTCATGTTTGATTTATGATTTGAGGAGGGAGATGTGAATGCACAGGAAGTCATAAGTAGGATGTCAGTACACAAAGCCAAGCTAGCTTTTGTTGGGCCCCTAGTAAGTCTTACAGCCTGACTTGGCAAGAAGTCAGCAAAGGGGGTATCTCTTTCTATGTTGCTGACAGACATGACTCAACTTGTTTTATGTAACTAGCTGAATTTTTTCTTTTTCAGAAAAGTTTACAAGAAGAAATTGAAGCATTAGAATCCCGAGTGGAATCAATTCAGAGGGTGTTATCTGACCTGAAAGTTCAGCTCTATGCCAAGTTTGGAAATAACATAAATCTTGAGGCTGAGGACAGTTAAAGGTGTTCTAAATATACCACACAACTTTTCCTTCTTTTATTAAATGCTTTGATAACATTGTTCCAATGACATTTAAAAAACATCCACCACTTTTTTTTTTTAATTTTAAATTTTTTTTACTTTCCTGTCTTGGGTTCCACCTATTTAAGGAGGGCTTTCTTACTGTGGTTATTGCAGTTATTTATTTGTTCAGGAAAGCATTAGCTTCATACTGTTGGTAAAGAATCAGGATTGGAATCTTTGCATTGCTTATTAAAGTAATAAAGTCAGGCACATATTGTAATTTCCTTACTCTTTTTTTCTACTCATGAAAATACTTAAGTATAAAACCAATAGAAATGGGGACTTTTTTATTTGCACTGTAAGGGCTGGCTGATAACAGTTTCTCTGTCTCATTTAGGGCCTGATTCAGCTGTAATGCTGTTTAGCTGTTTTGAGCAGCCCTCCTGGAAATACTAAATCTCTCCTTTGTCTTTCAGTCTTAGCTCAGATAGCATAAACACTGTAAGCTCAGTGCACAAGGTGACAAGAAGTTGGCAGGGGAGAAAGGACGGTTCTTTAAAGCCCATGTTGGTATTGAAGAAAAGCTTTTGGAGTCACAGGCATATTCAGTCATTTACGGCTTTGTGTTTGAGCATCACAAAAGGTGCTGTAAGTCAGAATGGTGAGTCTTCTTATAATTTTCCTGAACAGTCATTTTCTAAATCCACATTTATACACCAATTTAAAATGTCAGAATTGTTCATAGATGGAAGTTGCTATGTCAGCATCAATCCCTGGAACTATTCCTCCATCACTGTATGGAGTTGAATGTAATTTTTAAAAGTCTTCATTTGCTGACTTCTTACACCCTTAAAATAATTGTGTTCTCTCACTGTAACCCTGCTTTTGGAGTTCTGCCTGCCTTGATTAATGTGTTTTTCCATGGAAATACCTGTTCATTATTACTTTGTTTTTAAAACTTAAAGCTTAGCATACTTAAGTTGTCTTTTTAAGCTATTTTCCAAACCATTGTGGACAGAGAATTCAGCTGGCTAAATATTAATCTACAGTCATTATTCTTAATATAAAGAGTCAGAGTGTCAGATGAGTATATTTTTATAAAGTGATTGATACCTATCTCTCATGTGTCAATTCTATATCTTCTTCAGACAGTGTGAACACGGAGGGGCAAAAAACCCCACTTGGTTTTGCTATTATTGAAGTAGTTTTAACTGGGTAAGGATATTGAACTTGATCTTCAGTACACTTGAGCAGGATCTCACCAGCCCTCAAGGAGGTGGACGTGTTCCTTTATGTAATTTCAGAACCCTCTGTACAGTTTTCTGTTTAGGCAGGTGTTTGGCACCAGACTACTTAGAGCAGTTCTGGGTTGACCCAGAGTTGTTATTTTAGGCACTAAAGGGAGAAAAAGGTGAGTATTGTGGACTTGAGTGGCTCAGCTCTGCCTTCTGTTGTATTGATAAATCTCTTAGCCCAAAGCTGTGGGAGCAAGGTTACACTCTTACGAGGTGCTGGTATCTAGAGATTTTTTTTCTGAACAGCCAAACCGTTCATTTGGTATGTAAAAGAAAGTCATCCAGTGTAATTCTCTTTACATTACGAACCAAAGAAAATATGAAAGACTTTTCCAGGTGAAAACTGAGCACGTGATGGAGTTTGACTCATCATGAGAAGCATCCAGCAGATGGCATCAAAGAACGGGGAAACCCGTTTTAGGGTGAGCCCATGCCAAGGCTGTCAGTGCCAGTTCTGATTTTAGTAAAGTGAAACAGGCTGCAATGATCACATTCTCATTGGTTGCTAACACCTTGACAAGGATCTCCGGGTGATTTAATTAGCTATTCGGCTCCACTTTTGTATTAAAATACAGTTTCCATAGTTTTTGCTTTGCAAAGCAGAGAGCCACCAGTGGCTGGGGTCTCACTTGCTCGCAGCAATTAAAGCAGGTAAACTAGCAAAACTGCAGACAGTGAAATAGAGCTCATTTCAGTGCATGATGGCAAGGAGACCTAACTTAGCAGTTTTTCAGAGTAGCTTGATTTTACTGTAAAACACAGTAAAAAATATTATACTAATTATATTTTCAGGGTGTTGTTTGTGATTCTGTATCTTGTCAGGTGATGTAAAAATGTTTTTCACATGATGATCTCTAGCATAACCTTCTCCAGTGGAACCTCCATTATTGCTCATTGCTTTTGTGTAGAAGATCTCTGGATACCATTACACTTTGTTATATGAATGTGGTGGTTAATTACTCAGCAATTACAGGAAGTAGTGTGTGACCAAAGGACAGCTAATTTTGTGGTATTAACTATCACTTCAAAGAACAAAAAAGAGATTGAATGCTAAATATGAATGCCATATTTTCTGTTGGAGCAACAGGATTAAGTAGCTTGCACATGAGTCAGTGGTTCAGATAATTTATCTAATGTTATTCTAATAGTCTGATTCATGAAAGAGAAAAAAACATGGCTGTATATAGGCAGAAGCCCTGACAAGAATTATTTATGACCAAGTTTGTCCTTCTATTGATTGTATGAGTCATACAGAAAACCAAATTATTTTGTAGTCAAATGTCAGGTGCTGATCAGACTGCACAGGACGCAGTGCACCCAGCGCAGGGGTAAATGAGTGGGGAGGATTTCCCTCAGCAGGAGAGGAAATAAGTTTACAGCTAAGGGGGCCTGTGTCCTACTCTTAAAGAGTTGTAATAAAAAATTATAAACCTGAGTAGAACATCAACCATTTACTACAGATTTACAAAAATCTTTTGTTTGCTGTTGCTCTCCAACACAAAAAGATGAGGGGTAATGGGTGTGAGTTACTCCTGGAGAAATCCTGATTGGACAGAAGAAAATTTTTCACTATATGAAGTGTCAGACATTGGAATAATCTCCCCAGGGAACTGGTGGATTCCCCAACAGGATATGCTTTTAAGACTCAGCTTGACAAGGTGCTCAGCCATCTCATCTAAACTGGGTCCCACAATGAAACGTTGGACCAAATGATGCTTGAGGTCCCTTCCAACCTGGCATATTATGATAAATGTAACTGTTCTGAAATATCATGGCTATTTCCAATAACTTCCTCTTCATTAATGTGTACATCTAAGTTTATATTGTATTTCAAGTGAGGCCACAGTTAGTAGTTACACATCAATGTACTGCTAACACCTAGCTGAGGTCCATGAAACAAACTGTCACATTCTGTTCTGTTAATAAGCATAATGAAAGGAGAAAGTTCTAGTTCAGCTTTGAAAATGCTGCTGGCTCGGTCTTCTGGTTGTGAAATAGAACTGAATTAATGAGGTATAGTAGTCTGCATAATTATACAGGAACAATTTATTTAAAGCACAAAGCAAACGTGGAAATTTGCAACAACTCAAAAAATAGAATGATTTCCATTTCACAGATGCTATGCTTCATTTGGAAGTGATAGAGTAAGAAAGATCTAAGAACCAACTTGCAGCTTGCTGTGAAAAGGTGACACCAGAAACTTTTGAAATGTCTGTACTGCATTTTATAGGCACCTGAAGTGCAGAGTTTTCTCTTCACAGTGCATTAATGAATTCCATTCTAGCTATTTCTAAAGGGGCTCATGTGGAAAAACAACCAGTGCTTTGGAAGAAAACAAACTTCATATTTATGTGTAATTGTGCAGGTCTCCTGAATTCACTGCTGGTCCATTTGTGCAAAATCACTGTGTGTGTAAATAAGCATGGAAACACAATGAGAAATAAGTTTCATTTCCTTTGTGTTTTGGGATTTTGTATTGGTGTTAGTATCTTTATTAAAAGTCATTGAATCTCATTAGATTAGAATTTAGATGGAATGCCATGGCTTTGTGTGGGATAAAGTCCTTTCTTTTACCAAGGTGTGGAACTTTACAGAATTCATAGGGAATCTTAGCTGGGATCAAGAAAATATGATACTTTCTGATGTTCAAGCCTTTTGTATGTCTAACCCATGTCTGCTAAACCATGATTGAGTGTCCCAGACACATTAGGCTAGAGGAAAGAAGTGAGTTAAATGTAAAGTTTACCAGTATCTGTAATGGGGTGAACGTAAGATCGCACATGCAAAGATCTCTGCCTTAGCGGAAGCAAATGTCTTCAACTCAAAGTCTGCAAAAGCTGGATGTGATTTCCATTAAGCACGTAGCTTACATTTACTAAATGGTGTATTAAAATGGACTCAAAATTTACCAAAGCCCCTGAGAAATACTGATCTAGAACAAAAAGCAGTAAGCTGTTTTATGTTTCAAGAGAACAGGCAAAAGCAGAAACTGGAAAAAAGGTGACTGGCATATGTGTGCATTTTTTAATGTCTCTGCAATGTAATTTTCAATAGTTTATTATTTTTCACAAATGGAAAATCTGGAAAAGCACTTGTCATTACTCATCATATTTTCATTCTTCCCTGTGGCTTAAAGAGGGTTACAGTCAGTAGGCAAGACAGCATTACTGTGAGAGGGACACAGCCATTTTATAAAGAATACTGAGATGCAAAATGCAGTAAAGCCTACAACTGTTCTTTCCTTGATTATTTATATTGAGCTTTATTACAGCATGTAAAAGCTTGGAAGGGATTACAGTCATAGTTCTGGCTACCATGGAAATGCCACTTCAAATGATAAACCCCTCAGAGTGACACTGGTGTTTTACAGGATATCACAAGTAATTACTCAGGTGAAGAGGTGAATTCTTAGTAGCTCTTGCAAATTGATTTCTTTATTTTCCCCCACCCCCTTCTGCCTTTTAAAAAGAGCTAATCTTATTTAATCTCTATTCTGTGAAGCAGGTGTTTGGAATGCTTATCTCAGGTTTCCAAAGCAATATGCAGTACAGCGATTGTGGCTAAAAACACCTATTCCTAGTGCCTGCAAAATGTTAGAAAATAATAATTGTTTCCTAGTCTCTAGTTCAAAGTGTGTTCTCTTGTATCTGAACTAGTTCATAAAAGTTGAAGACAGACAAGGATTCAAACACTCAGTATTTTTGCCTACAATGTGATTTATAAAATTGAGAGAAGCCTGACATTACTGACATAGCTTTCTGGACAGTTTACCCACAGAGGATTAAAAAAGGTTGCAGACATTCTTCCTGGTACATAAGGTAGTTCTGGTATATTCACATTAGCCATTTTCACAGAGACTACATAGGATGACAGAAAACTTAACTTGCCTTTTCAGTTACGCTAAATAAGGAATGATGTGCTGTTCTAATTATGTGTCTCCTTAGAAATGTCACAGGTGAAGAAAAGCAGCCCCATGGGAAGAGTT